TCCTAGAAGTCAATCTGGAAAAAGATCAGTGGTTCAACTGAAACCTCCCACCCCCCAGGGAGAGTTCAGTTGGTGAAAAAGAGGGGATGTTTTAGAGTAGTTACACTATTTTGTATAATATTGTAATTATATAGTATCCTATATAATATTGCAATGCATAATATATACATATACATTATACATTTTTCAAAACCCATAGAACTTAACAAAGAGTAAATTTTAATGTAATTTTTTTTTATTTTTTGGTACCAGTGATTGACCTCAGGGGCACTGAACCACTGAGCCACATCCCTAGCCCTATTTTGTATTTTATTTAGAGACAGGGTCTCACTGAGTTGCTTAGTGCCTCAACTTTGCTGAGGCTGGCTTTGAACCTGCAATCCTCCTGTCTCAGCCTCCCAAGCCACTGGGATTACAAGTATGTGCCACCACACCTGGCCGTGAGTGGTATCTTTAAGACTAAAGACAAAGGAACTACACATAAACACTGTACAGTAGTTGATAAGGTTGTTTTCCACAAGGTTATAAATTAACAATTCTGACACTCCTATACATGTATATTAGAATTAAACAATTAAGTACATAGATTGGGGATGATGAAAGCCAAGTTCTCACTGTTGAAATGGGAATTTTCAGAAAGGGGTGGGGGGCAGAATGATCCACGTGGCAAGGGATTAGAGTTGGAGACAGTATGAATTCATATTTAGCTTAGTATAAATGTTTGCATATAGAAATATTTTTGTGTACATATATGAGTTAGCATGCATACATCTATTTTCTCACTCTCCCAGAAGTGTCTAAAAGCAATGACACCCTAATAGTAATAAATAAGCCTACTGCCCAGACTTCCCAGATCTTGGCTTCTAAAACCACTCCTCAATAAATGAAACAGGACTGGGGTGTAGTTTAATGGTAGAGCACTTGCCTAAGTGTGCACAGGGCCTGAGATCAATATGGAGTACTGTTAAAAAAAAAAATAGGAAATAAAGTTCCTTGGAGAAATGGCTGAATATAGGACTGGGGTAGGAAATATACAAATGAGCTTGTAACATTGTGTAGTGTCAAAATAAATGGTTTTTTAAAAAAATATTTTAGTTGTCAATAGACCTTTATTTATGATATGTGGTGCTGAGAATTGAACCCAGTGTCTCACACATGCTAGGCAAGTGCTCTGCCACTGAGCCACAACCCCAGCCCAAAATAAATTTTTAATTTAAAAAATAGGGCTGGGGTTGTGGCTCAATGGTAAAACACTAGCCTAGCACATGTGAGACACTGGGCTCAATCTTCAGCACCATATAAAAATAAATAAATAAATGATGAATGTATGTAAAAGAGACACAGGAATGAATTGAAAGACCTCCCAAAGGTCAAATTTATAACAATTTTTTTTTAAATTTTCTCTCTCTCTTCATTTTTTTTTCTAAAGAGAGAGAGGTATATATATAGAGAATTTTTTTTAATATTTATTTATTTTTAGTTATCGGCGGACACAACATCTTTGTTGGTATGTGGTGCGGAGGATCGAACCCGGGCCGCACGCATGCCAGGCGAGCGCGCTACTGCTTGAGCCACATCCCCAGCCCAAATTTATAACAATTTGAACAAAAGAATAAAGAATATTGAATTCTAACCCAAAAAATGAACATCCATAAGTCCATACTGGTAAAAGTAAATGCTTGAATAAATAAATGAGGAAGTTGGAGTGGGATTATAATATAAAGAATAATTCCAAGGGCTGGGATGGTGGCTCAGCGGTACAGCGCTCACCTAGCATGGGCGGGACCTGGGTTCGATTCTCAACACCACATAAAAATAAAGGCATTGTGTTGTGTCCATATACACCTAAAAAATAAATATTTTAAAAAAGAGTTAAGAAAAAGAATAATTCCAAATAATTTCTCTAGATCCTTCCAGGAGGGGAAGCATAAATCCGTAGTCTCTTAGTTTGGGCTGTACATAGTGACTTCCTTTCAAGGAAAATAGTATGGAAATGGGGGGAAAGGGAATATTAATACACTGGGGAAAACACCACCTCTGCCAGGTGATCAAGGTCAATATCAACAGTGATATGTCCTGCTGATAGTATATATCAAGTACCATCCTTAATACATGATGAAAATGGCAGTTTACCTCCATAGTCTTTCTGCCCCAAACCCATAACTCAGACCATGATGAGAAAAATAGAAAGACAGTCGCCAGGCGTGGTGGCTCAAGGCCAGTAATTCCAGCAGCTCAGGAGGCTGAGGCAGGAGGATCGTGAGTTCAAAGTCAACCGCAGCAAAAGTGAGGTGCTAAGTAACTCAGTGAGACCCTATCTTTAAATAAAATACAAAACAGGGCTGGGGATGTGGCTCAGTGGTTGAATGCTCCTGATTTCAATCCCCAATACCCGTACCCCACAAAAAAAATTAGAAGGACAGATTATTAAATACCTGATGAGTACTCCTCAAAACTGTCAAGGTCATCAAAAACAAGGAAAGTCTGAGAAATTATCAAACCAAAAGGTCCCTAAGGAAATATGATAATCAAATGTAATCTGAAAATGGGCTTAGTAACACACTCCTATAAATCCCTGATATTCAGAAGGCTGAGGCAAGATCACAAGTTCAAGGCCAATTTGGCTAATTTATCGAGATCTTGTCTCAAAATTTAAAAAGGCTGGAGATGTAGCTCCATGGTAGAGTATTTGCCTAGCACGCACAGATACCTGGGTTCACTCCCTGTACCACAAAAGTAAATAATAAATAAATATACTGGAAGGGATCTTGGAACAGGAAAAAAAGACCTTTCTCAAAAAACAGGAGAAACCTGAATAAATTATGAACTTTAGTTAACAAAAATGTGTCATGATTGTATTGGCTTATTACTGTATCAGTATTGGTTCATTAATCATAATGATGAGACATGTTAATGTAAGATATTAATAACAGTGCAAACAATGTGGAGACTATGAGAACATTCATCGTATCCATTAGTTTTTCTGTTCAGAAAACTGCTCTAAAGATTAAGCTTAAAACTACACCTTAAAAGCTGACTATTTTTAGGGCATCTGGTGTTAAAAGAGAAAAAACTTGGGCTGGGGATGTGGCTCAAACGGTAGCGCGCTCGCCTGGTATGTGTGAGGTCCGGGTTGGATCCTCAGCACCACAACAAAGATGTTGTGTCTGCCGAAAACTAAAAAATAAATATTAAAAAATTATCTCTCTTAAAAAAAACTTAAATCAGTGGTTTTAAAACTCCTGAGTACATCAGAGAACTGAAACACAAACTCCAACTCAATAGGTTTGGGAAAGGGCTAGAAAATTCCCAGTTTTCTTAAGTTCCCTGGTACTGCTATGATTGCTGCTGCTCCAAGGACCACAACTTCAAGAAACACAGGGGTTAAACTCAAGATTTAAAACAATGATGGCATCTCATCCCCCAGAAAATTGGGGCATTGGTGTAGCATGCCTTGGAGATTTTCTGGAGAACCTTTCAAGGTGGTTCTTGCAGAGGTGAAGAGTCCATCATATATATTCTACTGTACCCTTCACCCACAGAACATACCCCTCCACTTCATCCTATGGCTTCATGACTTACTAGTACACAGGTGATATAGAGATGACTCAGACCTATCCCCTAGGTCTCCCAGAAATGTGTGTCTAGAAGCACTGACACCCTATATCAACAAGCACACCAGGAAGAAGTAGGAAAACAATTGCTAACCAAAGTGCGAAAAGTGAGTAAATGTTTAAGGAACAAAATAGAATGGGAGCGACTAAATTAGAAATGCGGCATGAGCCAAGAAATGAGCTTTCTAAGGTGAGTAATGATTTGGAGACCATCACAAAGGGGGCAGGTGAAAGGACACATTCTAGAAGTGGGGACAAGATGTACAAGGCATGGAAATCTACCAGCTCCAGACTTTCCTACAAAGTTGAGCTCCTAGTACAACTTTCAACTTCCTCTGGGGTATATATAATCTTGTGTTTGATTGAACCCAGGGAATTGCGCATTCGAGGCAACGTACTCTACCAACTGGTATATCCCAAACCCTGTCATTCTCCTTTTGCCAAAGGGTTCTGAGATGTTTAATAACTTGTCCAAAGAAATCTAGATGGTAAGCAGGAAGATCCAAATTGAAATTCAGAAGGTGCTCCAAGTCCAGCAGCTCACAATTGAGACTTCAGGCTCCTCTACCCGCCTCAGGTGACATCTGGTCTTCCAGCCTTCTTTCTCTAAGCCTTCTCTTTCACCTCTTTCCCAATTAGCTTCTCCAGTCTCTTCTTTCATGATTAACCAGACTCACAAGCCATGGACAGAAGCCCAGTAAATCAAGATCTCCAACTTGCTGCAACTTAAGCCTAGCTGTAAAGGACATAAAATTTCCTGACGTGACTTGTCCTGCTTTCTCTGGGTCGCTGTGAGGATCAAAAGAACTTAAGGATTTGACCAAGCTCCCTCGCTATCCTCAGGCCTCCTCAGGCGCCCCACAGCCAGCCACATCCTAGCACTACAACCTATACTTTATTCAGCCTCAGGAGACAGGCCCAGGTCCGGCAGGTGTGTCCCATCTCCCTCGCGGGCTGGTTGGCAGTTTCCTCTCTCCGCTGGCACCCGAACTGAGCTGGGCGTGGACACAGTTAGACAGCCCCACCCGGACATGACCCCGGATAGAGGACGAAAGATGGGAGCCCTTTGCCTACAAGAGGAGCTGCCCCAAACATCTCGGCGCTCAGCCTCTGCATCCTCCCAGGTCAAACCTCTCCTCCCCACCAGTGATAAAGTCTCGGTTCCCAGGACACCCTTCCCAAAGCCTGAGTCCGCCTCTCCGGCCCTGGCGCCGGATCTGGGAGAGTTAATTCCAACCGCCTCCGCCGATTCCGGGGGCCAGGTCGCTGACAGCGCCTCCCATTGGCCGAGGAGCCGGCTCGATGCTGATTGGCTGAGGCTTTCTGCAGCGGCTCCCCGAGGCTCCGGATTGGCGCAGCGCTCCGGTCACTGGTGTGTGGCGGCGGGCCTCCGCAGGCTACCCGGGGTGAAGGTGCTCCGAGCTCCGGTAGCTACCTTCGGACGTTCATCCCGGTCCCGAGTCCCGACTTCCTTACTGATCTAGCTCTCGTTGCTGTCCCGGGAAGACCACCGGATTCTTTTCCTCCTGCTGGTTTTCTTTTTCCTTCCTCCCATCTCCCAATTCCTTCCATTTTCCTCCTCTACACGCTGGCCCCCGCCCCGCGTAGCGTAGCCTGCCTTTCTGAACATCCCACCTGCCTGCCACCTCCTGACTTCTGCCCCTCCCTGACCTCGAATCCCTTAGCCAGAGGGCTCTGTCATAACCTAGCCAGACTCTCTTACACGCCTCTTTTTTTTCCCCCTCTTTGTCAGTTCCTGACTCCCAAATCCAGCTAACCTTTGACTTTCTGACATTTGACCCTGACACTTGACTCTGGACCTCCAAGCGGAGGTCTTCCCTTCTGAGGCTACTGTACCCCACACCATGGACTTCTTGATGAGTGGTCTGGCAGCCTGCGGGGCCTGTGTGTTCACCAATCCCCTGGAGGTTGTGAAGACCAGGATGCAGTTGCAGGGAGAACTGCAGGCCCCTGGCACCTACCAGCGTCACTACCGAAACGTCTTCCACGCCTTCTTCACCATCGGCAAGGTGGATGGCCTGGCTGCCCTGCAGAAGGGTCTGGCCCCTGCCCTTTTGTACCAGTTCCTGATGAATGGTATTCGACTGGGCACCTACGGGCTGGCTGAGTCTAGGGGCTACCTGCATACCACCGAGGGCACCCTCAGTCCTGCCCGCAGCGCAGCAGCTGGGGCCCTGGCTGGGGTCATGGGAGCCTATTTGGGGAGCCCCATCTACATGGTAAGGAGGGGGAGGGTCCTTCTTGAGGCCCTCAGGGAAGATCCTTGGTGTAGGGTGGGAGTCTGGTTCTTCACAAGAGCATAGGTGACAGGGTGCTGTCCCCTTGCCAACAGGAAAGGGCATCAGGAAAGTGCTGGCATGTTTTAGGGCATTCTGATCTGCCCTATACACACCCATTCAATAGACTCAATTGAATGTGTTGATGAATATGATGGGCTTTGGAATCAGCCATTCTGGAACTCAAATCCTAACTGAAAATTACTAAATGTTGAGCTTCAGTTGCCATATCTGCAAAATGGGGATAATGATGATGATGATGATGATGATAGTGATGATTTTGGTACCAGGGATTGAACTCAGGGGCACTCAATCACTGAGCCACATCCCCAGGGCTATTTTGTATTTTATTTAGAGACAGGTCTCACTGAGTTGCTTAGCGTCTTACAGTTGCTGAGGCTGACTTTGAACTCACAATCCTCCTGCTTCAGCCTCCCTAGCCACTGGGATTACAGGAGTGCACCACCTTGCCCGGCAAAAAATGGGGATTATTGTAATGAATTTTTTGTGTGATTATTGAAAGGACTGAGGAAGACATATATCTGAGACAACACACATAAAACACTAGTACAAATCCTGGCACATAGTAAGCATTTGATAATACTGCTTTTATTATTTTATGATCATTACCTGATATTGAGGTTGGATTTGTGTAGGGGAATAGGAGGAACCTGAGAACTCATCAGTGAGTGTAGGAATCAGGAAGGTCCTGAGCATCACAGAATTAAAATCTCACAATCTGTTCCTTTGCTTTGTTAGATGTAGGTGAAGGGTTAGGAACCTGAAGCCCAGAGAGGGGAAGTGACTGTTTCAAGGTCACACAGCTGGGGCTAGGTCCTGCTTAGTGTAGCTAAGAAAGTGGGAGGCTGTATGTCTTCCAGAAAGAGAGGCAACCTGGGCTCACTCCCAGGGTGAGATTCAAGGACAATAGCCTCTTTGAAATCAGTTGAACACATACCCCTATGAGTCCTGGGAGCCTGAGAGCACATTTTAGCCAGAGTCTGATAGGGAGCCTGGTCAATGTGGTAGCTGGAGAACTGAACTGGGAATGGGAGCTTGTGTGACAGTCTGGACACCCAGATCTTGCCTAATTTGAAGTCTTAGGAAATACTGCCAGCCTTTAAACTCTCCACCCCTAATCCCAAACCCCAAGGGGAGGAGGACGTTGAGGGGGTGGGTATCTTGCAGTGCTTGAAGATCCCTCCCCAGGGCCTAGAGCCAAGAGACACATAGTCTGTTGACCAATTTGTTAAGTGGGAATAACAATAATTATCAGATTAAAAGGGTATTCATTGCTTAACACCCTAGAGGGGGGGTCAGGCATTTGAGTTTCTAATGCAGGAGCATGGCCACTAGGGCATAAGCTGTGATACTCTCTTGTCTCCAGGTGAAGACACACCTACAGGCACAGGCAGCCTCGGAAATTGCTGTAGGGCACCAGTATAAACATCAGGTGAGGGTTCCCCAAACCCGCTGGAGTGCCCAACTGTCCTCTCAGCTTTCTGCCTGCCCCAGGCAGCTCTAACCCTGACCACTGCTGTGCCCCCTCTACCCCTGAAGCCCACCCAGATCCTCTGTATTCCTGCTCCTCAAATCTTTTAAGCCTGATTCTCCTGCCCCATTCTCCCCATTTGCTAATATTCTCACTTATACACAACCAGCCCCTGCTGTGGGATGGCAATGGGTAGCAGAAAACTGAAGGCCCATATTCTGGCTCTAAGCCCACAAATGAACTGGTCATTTAGACAACAGGTACATGTTAAGGACCAGTCCTTGACAGTATTAGGAGGTGGGAGCCCCTGATGCTGGGGTGACTGAACCCCATCCCCATGGTCTTCCCCCCACCAGGGCATGTTTCAGGCGCTAACCGAGATTGGCCAGAAACATGGTCTGGTGGGGTTGTGGCGTGGGGCTTTGGGCGGCCTGCCCCGAGTTATCATCGGTTCCTCTACCCAGCTGTGCACCTTCTCATCCACCAAGGACTTCTTGAGCCAGTGGGAGGTACTGCCCGGGAAGGGAGTGGGGCCATCAGGGAATGGGGTAGAGGGTGGGCAAAGGGAGGTGGGCCCCAGAATGGATGGTGACAACCTTCAGATGTGAGGGAGAAGCAGGAGGGTTTGAGGGTTACCAACTCTTTGACTCTTCTCCAAGTTCTCCTGTCACTTTATCTCAGAGGGGATACCCAAGCCCTCAGGGTATACTGTGCTACAACTGGTAGAGTAGAAGCTCCCTGAGTTACCAGATCTCTGTGTCCCCCAGGCAGGGCCTGTCCTGTCCAGTGGTTGAATAATTGGCTGATTGACAAAGCTCTTCGTCTCTTCCCCCTATAGATCTTTCCTCCCCAGAGCTGGAAGGTGGCTCTGGCAGCTGCCATGGTGAGTGGCATCGCAGTTGTCCTGGCCATGACACCCTTTGATGTGGCCAGCACAAGGCTCTATAACCAGCCCACAGACAGTCAGGGCAAGGTAAGGGAGTGCTCCGGGATGCAGGCAGGCAGGGAAAGCTGGGGGAGGCAGGGGAAGCAGATTGTGGGTACAGGTGGAAGAGCCTCAAATTCAACCTGCAGAGGTGAAGCCCCTGGTGGGCTCTGACAAGCTCCTTCCCTGTGCTCTCCCTCCCTTTTCAACATGCTCCAGGGCCTCATGTACCGAGGAATCTTGGATGCTCTTCTGCAGACAGCCCGGACAGAGGGCATTTTTGGCATGTACAAGGGTATAGGTGCCTCCTACTTCCGCCTTGGCCCCCACACCATCCTCTCCCTCTTCTTCTGGGACCAGCTGCGCTTCCTCTATCACAAGTACACTAAATAACAGCTACTTTCCCACACTCCACCAAATTGATATTTCTTGGACACTTCTGCCTCCACTACTATGTCCTGTTGATTACTGACCATGTGACTTTTTATCCATCCAAGAGGGATAGCCAACGCCACTCCCTGTTCTGTTCTCTCAGGGTTGAACCACAAGTAGTAAGTCTCCTTCCCCTCCTTGGGTGTTGCTCTAAACCAACCTATCTATCCCCCTGTACTCTACACACCCCCTTCTCAGGGCTAAACTAATCACTCCAAAATATATTGCCTCCCTCTTTCCACTGCCAGCCTTGGGTCCCTCCTGTTCCCATGCACAGCTTTAAACTTTCCCATCCAAGACCAAAGGGAATTTGGGAGACCCAGGTGTCCTGTAAAATTCAAAGACACAGAAATTATATTGGTTATAAAGCAAGTTTATTTCTGCAGAGAAGGTGTGTCTTGTGTTTATGCACAGGAAAGAAAGAAGAGAAAACCAGGTGGTATTCAAACTCTTTTTCTCCCCTCCCAGACCCAGGTCTCTAAGTCTTCAGTAGTATCATACAGTGCTTTAGCATTTTTACTGGGGACCAAAGATGTTGGGATCATGAAGTGTCAGATTGGTCACCAGCTGTTCAAAATCACCCAGGTTCCACGGTGGAGGTGCCACATTTCCAGGTCCAAGAGATGGCCTGTTGTCAGGGCTTGGGGGTGGGGAACAAAGGGAGAAAGAACATGGTTCAGGACTAACTGAGGTTGACAGTTCCCACTTCCTGTTCCCAGAGGACTCAGGTATCTGTGTCCCCAAATCTCTGGCCCAATCTGCTTCTTTTAAGGACCCCACCAGCCAATATCCCGCTGTACCCCACCCAGCTTAATTCTCCTGGAGACACGGGCCCTTTCTTTCCTCCTTACGGGGGCTGACTGAAGGTGAGCAAGAGATCAGTCTGGTACTGGGGCAGCCTCAGCAAGGCCAGGTTCAGTGTCACTTCCTTTGCTACCTAGAAGGATCAGAGTCAAGATGTTTACCTGGATCCCTAAGGCCACTCCATCCCCCTTCCAGCACGCTCCTCGGCCCTCACCTGCTGGTTTTCCTTAGCTACCTGCTGCTTGCCAGAGAGGACCCAGGCTTCTTGACAGTAGCCCCTCAGGGCCAGGTTCTCTACATTGAGAGGCTGCACAGACTCCACTTGCACAGCCCTAGCCCCCTGTACCCCACCAACGTCCTCAAAATGGTACCTGAGGTGGGAGAGCAAGATGGGGGGCATTTCTCAATGCCCCTCATCCTCACCCCCACCCCCCCACCCCCGAACATCTTTAAGCCCTAGGCTTTGATCACTTCCGGCAGTATCGCTTTGCCCCAGGGAGTTCGCGTCCGGAATAACCGTCCAGTCGTAGGCCCCGCCCATTTCCTCAGTTTCGGCCCTCCCATTGGCCAGCCGCGGGCCCCTTCCTCACCGCGCCGCCGCTTCACCCAGCACGTGAGCCTGGAACTCCAGAAGTTCCACGATCAGGCTCTGGTCAGTCACTGGATGGCAGAAAACTTCTTGGTTGTCTGGGACTGGTCGGAGGTCACTGGAGAGGGGCGAGGCAGACCCTGGTTGACCCTGATTTCCCGCAACCCACCCGGTCGGCCTCCACAGGGCGCCGAATCTTTCTCACCTTACATCAATGGCCCCAGGGGGGAGGATGGAGGAGAAGGCGCCCCCGAACAGTGGATAGTTTCTTGAGGGCTCCATGGGCCTAGGACGAGGGTATGGGCCCTAGAGAGATTTAAAAGAAATCCATATGGGGACACGTGGCATCACCTCCCCGGCTTTCGCAGCCGCCACAGCCTCTTCTCTACTAGCTTAGTTTCTGGACCCTTTAAGGTTTGGCCCCGCCCTGCGCCCGCGCTAGCCAATCGGTGCCGGCGCTCTGGGGGCGGAGCCCAGTGGTGCCCCTCTCAGAAGCTCTTCCGAGGACTCGGGGTGGGACCGCTGGGGTCTTGGTCTTGGTTTAGAATTTGTGTTACCGTCGGGGGCCTGGATCCGCCAGCCTCTTCCTTTTAAAGGGGTCGCTTAAGATCCTCCCTAAGGGCAGTTGCACACCTAAGCGGGGTCTAGCGTCTAGGCGGGGTCTCCTGAGTCTAAGTAGAATGATTTCATGGTGTCCCCAGGACCTCTTGACAGCGAGTGGGCTGCCAACCTGACCACTAATTCCCGGATCCCATGCAGGGAATTAGAGAAACAATAGATCCAGGTGTGGGTCTCGTTTAAGATACAGGCACGCCTTCCTGAACGCTACACTCAACCTGAGGATTATACATATAATCCCCCTCAAATCATCGCCTTGAGAAAACACGGAGGCCCGGTGGGGGCAAGCCCTCCCTCCTCAGCACACCTGAACGGAAGCAAGGATTAAATCCTTTGTTTTTCTTTTACAGATTTCCAGTGTTCTTTAAGTATTTGTTCAACTTTATCCTCTTTGTTAATTTCTCCATTCATCTTTGATCCCCGCACCTGGCATAATATATTGTTGAGTGACTGAATAAAAACCCTTTAGTATCAATAGCTGGAGACCACCCATGCCCCCAGGGGTTCCAGATGCACGTCCCAGTCCAGAACTAGGCTTGGGAATTCTTATCCCGAGGATATCTAGACTCTAAAGGAGTGGAGCTAGGGGGTATGTATTTATTGGCCTCTTACCTTGCCTTCTGTGAAGGGGCTGGTGATCCAAAGGCAATTAGGACACACCCTCTGCCTCACTTAGGCTGTACAAGGAACAGTGGAGCACACTTTGAGTCTTTTGTTTGTTTCCGCAGTACTGGGAATCAAACACAGGGCCTCTGGCGTGGGAAGCAAGAACTCTGCCAGAGCTACCCAACACCCTTATAAATATTTTTTTTATTTTGAGACAGGACCTCACTAAGTAACTAAGGCTGGCCTCCAATTTGAGATCCTCCTGCCTCAGTGTCCCAAGCAGCTAGGATTACAGGTGTGCGTCACTGTGCCCTGCATAGTTTTGAGTCTTAAATGTTGACTCAGAGGAGTCACCAGGGAATTCTAGTAGTGTTCTCGCCAGGGAAACATAGGAGCAAAGACCTGGAGGTAAGAAGGCATATTCTGGAGAACACAAGTGTATCTAGGGGAGGGGAGTTAACAAGCTGTGAACATGGACAGATATTCAGGGTTTTTGTAGAGCCTAGTAAGGAGCTTGATTTTCTCATTTCTAGTTGTAGGTATTGCCTTCTTTCTGAGCCTCTTTTCCTTATCTCTAAAATGCTCTTAGGTATAAATGAGATATGGATGTAGTTGAGTCTGAATCTGTTTCCAAGCACAGATTGTGGACTAGTTTTGTTCCATGAGAAGCTGTAGAGGGGAGGGGAGTACTGCAGGCTGCAGAGGGAGAGAAGTATCCTGGCCATAGGGAACTGAGAGAACCAGGTCGGAAGAGTCTCCCTCATGCTCTTTGTCCCTCCCTCCCATTTCTACCATCCTGCCATCTATCCCTTCTCCCTGCCAGGGGCAACACCAACACTGGGTGCTTCATGACAGTCAAGCAGATCAGAAGTCCTTGGAAAGGGACCTCCAAGGACATAATAGTTAAGAGTGTCCTGGCACTGGACACAAGGGGGAAGGCCTATCTGTAGGCCAGGAGGAGGAGGTCAGACTAGGAAGATGGAGAGAAAGACACACACATACATATACACACACATACAACTTTCTCATTTTGAGTTTCTGGCAGGTCTCAGGTTCTGCTGTGGGCGGGGTATCCATCCATAGTTCTATGAGCTCTTGAGCCAGGGTTAGATGGGATCTTCCAGCTAGTAGAAAGCAGAAATGGCAGGAGCACAGGGCCAGATCTCCTCTAGGAGAATTGGAGTGGAAGGCCACCCTAACTTGGCAAATGTCTTTTCTTGGCTTCCATTTCCCCCCTCCCTTGATATCTGTCACCTCTGCTGGCCATCTCAACAACTTCTCCCCAGGGTGTTCAAATTCAAACTCCCCAAGAGACAGGATATAGTTGGGTCAATTAACTGCCCAGTTAGATCAATCTGAAAGTATTTATTTGGCAAGCTCTTCCCACATCACCTGCCAGACATCAGTGAAATCCTTGATATAGCTGGCTGTGGCTAGGATGATGGGTATCATGGGACAAATCTCAGTAGACCAAGATGGCCACTGCCATRTTTCTCAGGAGATCTGTGTATTCAGCTTTCAGCCCACTGGTTGTAGTAGACCTGAAATTGGTTGATACTGTACCCCTTGGATATTCCCTTATTTAATGTTTTGCATGCAATTGATGCTGTTTGATTTGGGACCAAATATCCCAGAGTCCCTCCCTTTGAAGGCACCGAGAGATGGATTTGAGTGGGGCACAGTAGTGCATGCTTGTCATTGAAGTGATGTGGGAAGCTTAGGCAGGAGGATTGCAAGCCTGAGCAACTTAGTGAGACCCTGTTTCAAAATATAAAGTATGCAGCACAGTGGCATGCATGAGGCTCTGGATTCAATCCCCAGCACTGCAAAACAAGCAAGCAAACAAACAAAAACGTGAAACACAGTGATTCTTTCATCCTAAAGTTATCCCAGCCTGAGTGAGAGAACTAGGGTAGACTACAGTTCACATCCTGTAATGAGGTAAACATTACCGTCCCTGCTTAGTCCCAGCTGAAGAATCTTTCTTGGAGAAATGTCCAGGGTCATGTGACAATCAGTGGTAGCCCCAATAGGTTTCTAACCAAAGGCCTGATATCATAAGGCATTATTTGAGGGAGACCAGTGTGTCATTGTCCTTGGAGTAATTGTATAGCTATGCACAGCCATCTCAAGAATTTTCTACCCCCATATCTCATAATTCTCCTTTCCTACTAGATGCTATAGGCACTTAAAAAAAAAAAAACATAAGATACAGTCTCCTATGTTGTCCAGGCTTCCTGATGAGTTGCACCAGGCCTGGCCCCTAAGCATGTTGCCTATGAGGCAGGAGGGTTATTTTCCATGGCTTGCAGCAGAATATGAGACAGAACTCCTGTATTCAAGATCCCAGATAGTTTTTTTTTTTACTTTGAGACAGCCTTGCTAAGTTGCTGAGGACCTGCCTCAAACTTGTGATCCTCCTGCCTCAGCCTCCTGAGGTAGCTGGGATTCCAGGCTTGTACCATCATGCAGGGCTTGTGATAGCCACTTTGAATCTTCCTCAGTGCCTTTTTCTTACCACTGGGCGTTTTCGTATGCTGTGCCCTGGCTAGCATGTCCTCAAATGTCAAAAAAGTTGTTATTATTATTTTTTTTTATGTTTTGGCAATGCTGTGGAATAGAACCTAGGGCTTCACACATGCTGGGCAAATACTGTACCACTGAACTACAGCCCCACCCTTCCAGAAAACACTTCTGGGTTAATTGTTCCCCACTGTGG